GCGTCGGCGTAGCGCAGTACTGGCGGAAGCATCTGCACGCTGTCAATCGGGAGGTCGAGACTGCGGTAGGTGCCCAAAGGTACGTCTGCATAAGACGCGTTGAACGCATCGTAGGTTGGAACTGGCGCCTGCAGAGCTTCCGTGACATAGATGACACGGGTCGGCGCATGTGGCAACAGACTCTCGGACACATCCGAGTCGCGCACCGCCTCTGAGGCCGGCGGCCGCATTGCCACCGATGCTGGCAGAGGCAGAGTTTCGTCATGCAGAGCGAGGCTTTCGGCCGAGTGCTCGAGCATCGGGATCATCGCATCCGGGCCCTTCTTGGCATACTTGGTGGGCACTGGAATGCAGTAGTACGCGTTGTCCCCGTCGGACGGCGCGACGACCGAGAGCCCGTCGACGCGGTCGCTCGCTGGGGTAACCCGCCGGCGTGCGCGGTCCTTGACGACCTCGAGCATGCCTTCATCAAAGAGTGCAATGTAGGCAAAGTCGGGCATGAAGACAGGCGTGAGGCAGTACGTACTGCAGCAGACCTTGGCGAACGCGAGGAGGCGCAAGGCGACGGGTAGGACGACGAGGATGTAGACGATGCCAACGATGTGCATATTACCGCTGAGCCGCGCCTGCGTAAAGAAGAAGGTGCATGAGATGACGAGGCCGGCGCAGATGCAGAGCTCGATGAACTTCCACACGACAAAGTAGATGGCGACGCGGAGAAGGTAAGGCTCCAAGACTACGTCGCGCGTCGGCTCGAGGTACAGCTTGGGCGCGTAGATGTTCCGAGCGCGGATCTCCCAGCGGCAGAGCCACTCGAGGAAGCCGGACGTGACGTTCTCGCGTAAGAAGGCGCGCCAGAAGGCGCGAAAGCCGGCGGTGCGCTCGAACGGCGCGACCATGAGCTGCAGCACGAACGAGAAGGCGAGCCAGAAAAGCCAGAGGTACAAGCCCACGAAGCTCAGCAGCGGCAGCGTCGGGAGGCTGTAGGCGTAGAAGAGCGCGAGCCGCCGGAACGAGCGGTCGCCGCCGAGGACCCACGATGGCAGCATCGGCTCGGAGCGTGCTTGGTCGCCTGTGTCACGCGCCTACGACGCCATCTGGCGCCAAGAAAATATTGTATATTCTCGGCAGAGAACCCATGTTGCGACCTGGCAATATTGAGACGAGATTGGGATATGGCAAACGCAGAGCAATATCCCGTTTACTCCAGCAAAAACAATGTCAATCTCCTCCCTCCAGCACGACGTGGTCGATTGCATTTGGAGCTAAGCTTACTAGGCTGGGCGGTATAAGTATAGAGCCCAACCCAATGTACATGTGGGCCTGCAACGTGGTCGGTAGTCACCTTGCGGTTGGGTCCCGGATCTTCTCAAATTGAAAAATATATTGGTCGCCCCAATATTCAAATCTGCCAAACCTTTGACGCGTCCTGACAGAGCTTCGAGTACACCGACACGCCGGCAGGGTATGCAGCATAATGCAAGTACAGTGGTGACCTGTGTACCGTGGTAGGCCTGCAGAGGTAGCCTGTGGTCACGAAGAGAGCTCGCGGTCCATAACCTATCTTTCTCATATTCTCATAGCACGTGGGTGGGTGGTGCAAACTCCAATATTCTACACGATTGAGTCACTTTTGAGAGAATAAGAGACAAGTCAACTCGGCCTTTCTCAGTTTGCTGAATTGAGCAGTCTCCATGTCGTGGGTCCTTGGCGGCGACCGGTCGCTGCGGCGGCTCGTCATCTTCTTCGTCTTCGCGGTGCTGAGCTATCTCCTCGTGAACGCGCTCGCCTTCACGATCTGGGTCTTCTGGGTTCTCATCTCGTTCCTGCTGCAAGCGTGCCTCGCGCCGTGTCAAGCGGGCGGCTTCAAAGCCTTCTTCCACTCGTTCCTGCACGAAAACATCTACACGGGCTTTCTCGAGTGGATTTGCCGCTGGGAAATCCGCGTCCGGAACGTCTACGAGGTTAAAAACTACGTCGACCCGTCGCGCCCGGTCGCGGTCGGCGCGTACATTTGGCGCGTCGTCTTCTACTTTGTCTTATGGAAGACGCTCGAGAGCTCCGTCTTTGGCTTTATCAACCGCATCAGCATTACGATCTACCACCCGCTCTACTTTGCCGACTCGGCGTCCAATTGGGACTGGTCCAACGACTTCAACGCCACGGCCTTCAACGACACGATCATCGCGCCGGGCGACGACGACGACATTCCGTACACGGGCGTGAGCTTGGCCTTTGTCACCATCGGCGTTGTCCTCGGCACGATCCTCGCATTGCGCATCCTTGCGTACATCATTTGCCGCGTCTGCTCGCTGTGCATTGACCCGATCTTCCGCCCCAAGTACAAGTACACGACGACCGACGTTGTCGCGCCGCCGCCAAGCAACGACGACAAGGTATCTCGGTTCATGCACAACGGATACATTCAGTTTGACGACTCGGCCCTGCGCGTCCCGCCGCATGCGGTGCGCGGCGAAGGTGCGCTCGGCCTCACGATTCAAAATGGCGCTACCGATTTCTACTGCATTCCAGTGCCAGACCCGCCCGAGTTGACAGCCAATACCAAGCCACCGCCGACGCCGATCCCGCTGCTGGAGAGCATCTCAACAGCGAACCCACGTGCCAGCATCGAGCATCGCGAGGACGCAAAGCGGCAACGACTCGTACACACCGAGTCGTCAAGTAACTATGCCCGGCAATCGTCGATGATGACGCTCCTCGAAGCCCCCGAGCCAATCGATGCGCCAATCCGGAATCTCGTCGTCGCACCTGCTACCCAAGCGACCAACTACGACCCGTTCCCAGCGTCCTTCGAAGCGCCGCGATCTGGCATCTACCGCAGCATCGACGTGCCTTCCTTTCAAGAGACAACGGCCAATCTCACCGTGTTGGCCGACTATGACGTACTCTCGCCGACCAACCGCAAGTCGCAGTCGTTCCAGCTACCACGCATCTCACGCGCGATCGACCAGACCATCTCGGCTCGACCAGCAACGGTCGACCCGGTGCACTTTTCAGCATTTTGCCCGCCGGTCGTCAGCACCAGTGTCTTTACCTTCTCCATCTGGGCCTTCCTCGTCCACCAGCGCGACGAGATGCGCGAAGAAGCGACAAAGCTAACCGATGGCGCCAAACAGCTCTCGCGCGAGGTGCTCATGCACGTCCGCCGCGGCGCGCGTGTGCACGTGACGCTGTCGGTGCCGGACGGGTT